GTTGCCGGTCGGAAAAGTTGATTTGGCAGATTGTGGCGGTCGGCAATTCTGCGTGCCGGTCGGGCCCAACCGGCGCCGACCGGCAGCGGCAGATCCCTGAATTCGGTGAAATGCAATTGTCAGTTCGACTCACTGCTTGTACTGGATGTTTGCCAGTTAATTAGGGTAGTTCATTTGGGCTGATATACATGTACATGTACCAATAAGAGTTGAAACAAATCTCACACTGAAACTTCAGGGAGTGTTACAACAGAAACAATTCCCACGTTTCATTGTATCTGGGGCTTACTTGTATATGTAATATTTTGAGCTTTGCCTATTGCTTTGTGTCCCTGCCTACAGGAAGGTGCTTTTGCCTTGGCCTTCATGAGCACTTATTTCCCTGGTCAGTGTGTGGCTACACGTCGCGGCAGTCCCCTGCTCATTGGCATAAAGACCAAGCAGAAATTGAACAGTGACTATGTGCCTATTCTCTACAGAGACAACAGCCACAGAGGTGAGTAATTGTACCTCCTCCCTCTGAGTTCATTTCAGTTTTAATCATGAGCATGAGAAAGATCATTGTGAGGTCTGTCATCATATGTGTACACACAGTGATTGATAAAAATTGAGTGATGTAAAAAACATGCGAAATTAGGAGACTCAATGAACATTTGAATCCCAATGAATTGAAAAGTTAAATTACAGCAATGACAGTTATTGGGATGGAGTCGGGGTTGTTACAATTGTTAAATGTTGTAGCTTATGGATAATGCATCACCAACTGAGAGTGTATTAGTGATTGACCGATAATACTGAAATAAAACTTCTAACCGATGATGGACCCTTCCGGTCTGTCAATCAAACCATGCATTGGAGGATGACTTTCAGTCAGATGACCATGAAAACTTCGCAGTGCTTGCTAATAGAAGTTGTTGGCCATTAGCTTGGTCAAATTTAATCGCATGCCGCACAAATACCCTACGCAAATCAGTGGGCCCAATGTAGCTGCCCATCGATTTGGAAGTCGGTTCTAACTTTTTGTATGTTTGGGAATAAAATGGTAAAACTATGCTGCTACGGTACATGTACATGTAATTCCGACACCAGGCATCCGGCGAAGTGCATTTTTTCGCTTTTCCAAAGCCCAAATCCAACCTTGAGAAATGTTTGAGATGGATTAAAGCGTGTGGTCGGCCCCATTCAGACTTGAATGTAAACAAGATCAACAAGGACAAGTGCACGTGTTCTAAGGTAGGATTATTATTAATTGCAAATGCCAAACATATTGTTAAATAATTAAATTAACTTAGATTAATAATTTGTTATTGAAAAAATAGTTTCTCTTCTGACAATTAGTTATGTACTCTTTCAACATCTTCAATAAAAGTAGGTTGTTCACTTCTTGGGCCTAGTTTCATGTAGTAATAGGATGCCATTTCTAGAAGACAACACTTGCTTAAACTTCTAGTCTACTGTTACAGAAAAAGTAATAATTCCTTGAATTCTTTTTCTGGCATATGCATCACCTCACTGTACAGCATTGAAAAAACCTGTAATCATTTGCAATGAAACATAAAATATTTGACCTTGTAGTTGTAGGACAATACCTGTGTCATTTCTTGTTTCGCTGTAGCTCACTACAGCTTTATTCTCATTGTGGCATCTTACAGGTCATTTTATGTATACCAGGCAAGATATGGGACAGAGGGGTACCCCCTTTACCTGTTTAATCCCTACACACTCTAGACTGTTGTTACCCAACACATCCCCCCTAGAAGTCTGTAAAGAATTCCTGAGATTCCAATCAAACAATGACCAACACAAAGGCGGGGGGTACTCTTCGTCCCATATCTTGCTTCAAATGACTTTATGAGTTCAAGGTCCAGTCTTGATCCTGTCCTGGCTATTGGGACTCTACGAGACCTTCACGCAGGTGCAACTCCAATGCACATTATATTGGTGTTTGATTATAAAGGAAAATTAATTATTTTCATTGATTCAGTGTTATTGTATTCAAATAATTTATTTTAATTAATAGAAAATTAATTAGCCCTGTCTAAATTTGTTGTAAACCTGTAGTTGGAAATAAGAATAAAAGCGTATTAATATTTTCCAAGTTAAAGTTCCTGTACCATATATTTCACAGCATTTCAAAGAAGGACAGCCAACTGTTACATGCTCTGACCCAGTACCGACTGATGGTAGTGACATCTATAAAGCTGAGAGGCCTCCATTTAAACAAAAGCTTAACCATGAAAACAGGTGGGTCAGTTTGCTATTATTTGTCTGAAACCTTTAGTTTCATACCAAATTGAAGTCGGTAACAAACACAAAAATCATCTGCCGGCTGCAAAATACATTTCAAAACATTTTTAAGCACTTGGAAAGATTAAGTATGTTGTAGAAATCTAAGTGTGCTGAAGTGCTATTCAAAGTTTGGTCTGTGATTTTCTAAAAACTGAACAGATCAGTGAACATTCTCAGAATTTTTTGATCACGTAAGAAGGAACTAGTTTGAAACATTGCATTTTTGGAACATTACTTGAAATATGATACAGTAAAATCCAAAGAAATGTTATTTAATGAATATTTGTTTTTCCTGTTAAATTTATAGTGGTCAGTCATCCAAAATAAAACTATAGAGGCAGACAAAAAGTGCAGAGGCAGGAACAGATGCACCTAATGAAAATCTAACTTCAGAAGTTAAACCTGGTAAGTTCCCCTATATTCTTCAGTACTGGCTAGGAATTGTGTGACCTGTTCCTTACAGAACAAAGCCAGTTTTCCAAATATGACTTTCCACATCTGTGTCTTAGGCAGAATCCTTCCAAGGTGAATGGCCTTACTTGTGTAAACAACAGAGTCACAGAAAGGTGCCCCAGTCACCATTAATTATCCTTGTACTTGATAAAAGTGTGGTTGATTCTCCCTTAACTTTATGCAATTTCCAGATTTTACCATGAAGAAATTTGAAATTTCATCTGTAGTCTCCGAAGCAATCACGTTTCTTGCACTGTATGGACACTTAGTATCCAGGATTCCTGTTTGTTCTCCATCACATATCTTGCCATCTAGTGTGGCTGCTGTGGTAGTACATGTACAAGCAGGATTAGCCACCAGGCTGCAGTCATAAACATGGAGAATGTTTTTGTATTGAAATAAGCCTCCTTTGCAACACTTGTATGCTTTTTGCCATAAGACACAGCTTCACTCAGGTTTATTTGGGAAGAGCACAAAATAGTTGAAACTTGTGTTGACTTTTTTTCCCTCGTAACTACCCTACCAAACTGCAAGGCATTCACAGTCTTGTAGTCGAGACCAGTTAGTCCGAGATCAAGACCGAGAACAGAAGTTCTGAGAGCACCACCTTCAAGAGGGATCAAGACCAAGATCGTCTGAGACTGAGAGTGCCAAGTACACTAAGTTACCAGCCAGAAATCACTCACAGCAACAGTTACATTGTGCATATTTGTGCTTCTTTGCTGGGAATTCAGGTAGGAAAACATGTTGGTTCATCCAAAACACCATCTCAAAAAAGACAAAAGACCGAAGTCATTCACCTGTATGAATTACAATTAATATTTCTTCTCTGTTTTAATGTATCTTTTTTCCAGCACAATCTGGGCTTGAACTAGTATCAGTGGCATCATTAATTCATAACTTAGAGGGGAAAATGCAGCACTCAAGAAGAATCTTGCTGCCAAGGTTTTGGAGCTGCATGATGCAAAGAAAAAATCCAACAGGACACCGTCAAAGCCATCAGACAAGGTTATCAACTGGAAAAACTTCAGTGTCAAGACTGTTCTAAAATCACAAGTTTTTTTAAATATCACACAGGGTTCCAAGCCAACACTTTCAATTTGCTTTTTGATTTCTTAATCCTTGATGCAAAAAAACAACCAACTTGAGTATAAGAAAAGAAAATCGACATGCATGAAGTTGTCTTTGAACGACCAGCTGTTCTTAGTTTTGTGCTGATTGCAAAATGGGTTTCATTGGAAGGATCTTGCGTTACAACAAGTATTTTCACGGTTTATTTCTGACAAAGAAATATGCCAGAAAAGTCACATTTGCAAGCTCCTTCAAGACCTGATAAGAGATGAAAAAGTCTACCTTGATGATGAAATTATGGTGGATAAAGGCTTTCAAATAGATGAGGTTAAAAAATTGGTTTGAAAGGTGAACATCCCTCCACTGGCTTCATCGTCTTCACAGATGAAACCAGCTGATTTGATGCTCACTAGGAAGATTGCCTGTCACTTGGTACATATAGAGAAAGCAGTTGAAGGAATGAAGAGTTAATAGTCACCTGAACAATTCCAGCCAGCCTGTTTGGAAGTGTTAAAGAAATATGTTTGATATGCTGCTGTTTGAAAGGATTTCAGGATGTTTTGTTGAAGGAGAAGTAGTCAAACCCACATCCTCATCCATCATGTCCATCTGTATTGTAGCTATAAGTTTTTTAATCACTGGCTAATGTAATCCACTTTTTTAACTCAGTATTAATACCTGATAATATAGGCTTGATCCTCTCTGAACTTGTCCAAGGGGTGTTTGAGTCACTGAAACATCCTCCTGGAGAAGATACTTCAGTGGGGTTTTTGTTAAGGCTTTTAACTGCCTTATTTCCCTTGAAGTAGGCAGCAACACTCTGTAAAAATATGAGGAAAAATTTACAACTCTGTTTAGTCAGTTATTTCAAAATGAACAAAAGAAAAAAAAGGAAAATTTATGTTGGACTCTAGCTGAAGAAGGAGGAACATTTTAAAAAAGCAAATTTTTGTTACATTTTATTATCTTGGTGGATCAGGACTGAATCTGTGATAAAAAAAATGTGCACAAGGATGAATGGATTGTCAAGAAAAGTTGTCCAGACATCACTCTTCAAAGGTAAAAGAATTCTTGTCCGCAAAAAGTAGATACAAGGTTTTTCAGTTGTACTCAACTACATGTACGTGCTTGTTCAGTTTTTGTCAGATGCATACAAATGTACATTTTGTCTTTCCACATTCCGCCAACAAAGCAGATTTGTTAATAGACATTTTTAATTGTACACTACATGTACCTTTGCTCAGTCACTTTTGTGAAAACAGGCTGTCATTTCCTGATTTTCTGGGCTTTGCCATGATCAAGCCTGTCATGGATTTTGGTTGGATTTTACATCCACAAGATTTGGGCCACTGTTGTGGCATGCTTGTACAGGACAAATGCCCTGGCATCTCCTTCAGAGCAAGTTCCTGGTAATGTCTCAGGGTGTATATCAGGGCAATTATATTGAAGCAAGTACCTGATAGCCTGTTGAATAATCAGTTGGAATGAATTTTGGAGGTACGAAGGCTTAACAAATAAGAATGGGAGTCAAAGTAGGCCGTCTATAAATTTTCCTTGACATTTTTATCAGCTAACCAAAGAGCAGGGGGGATGGCTTTCATTACTGCAGTTAATAAATTGAGTTAAATTAAAATAAAATCGTAATTGTATCCAAAAGGAAAAGACCCAGATTGATATACATTATAATTGAATGTATTTATATATTTATCTAAAAGAAATGCTGAATATTATTCTAAAGAAAAAACAAGAAGAGGAAATATATATTTTATTTTCAGAACAGTACTGATTAGCCTGTCACGTTTCCTTTTTGTACATGTATTGTGCTTGTGTAAGGCATCCTCTTGAACACAAATCAGGGTTTGCATGCATTCTGGAAAACCTGGAATATCCTGGAATTTCATACCCATCCTGAATAGTCCTGGAAAATGCTTAATTTTTAATACATATTTTTTTCATACAATATTTATTTAATACATAATTAAAAATTTTCAGTCATTATAAACTAATAAAGTTTTTTCCTTAACGTTGAATGAACTAGGGGAAGTTTATTTTTTATGATTGCCAAATGTGTGTAGGCCTACCTCGTGGTCCGGTTGTCACTGTCAGAAAACTTGTCACGTCTTTGTCATTGCGCTGCTTGATTTCTATGCATGTACATTGTTATAACTTCACAATCTTCTATTGTATTGTATTGATATATTGTACATGTACATGTATTGCATGTCAACCTGAATTAAGTCCTGGAAAAAATCAAACTTTTCAACCTAGATAATCCTTGAAAAGTCCTGGAATATTTTTTTCACAAGGGTGTATGAACCCTAACAAACGAATACAGGAATAACTAAAACTGTACATGTATGTCTACACGTGCTTATCCAACTACATAGCTGTATTTCCTCTCTGCTATGAAACCATTCCGTTCTAAGCACACATTCAGGGAATGCAGTATACTGCCTTTCTGCATACTTCTGTAGCATTTTGCCTGCATTACCACCTGGCCATCCTTCAAAACTAATAAGGAATTACGTTTGACCGGCTCAGACTTGAGTAAAGAACTGGAAGTGACCGTTTGCCGTTATTTGTAGTAAAGTATGTAAATGAATTGTTTTGTGTTGTTTATTGAGAAGTTCTGTGTTAGAGTCGTCTTTATGAATATCATGCCTTTTACTTTCAACCTACCCCAAACAGTCACTAAATATGCAAATTCCTTTGCATGTGATTCTGTTCACTAAAGTTCTGATCAACGTGATGTGCGCCCTATAGTACCATGATGCATAGCGGAACGGCCACCATGTTTGTCCGTCTTTTCCTCAGTGTGATTCTAAACAGACTTTTTTGGGCCTCTTTGAGTTTATCGAGTTTCTGTTTCGCTACCACGTTTCTGTGTTATTCTAATCAACCATAACGTATTGTAAAAATATACATTTGGTATTTTGATATATTCTTTAGTTTGAGGTGTGCACTTTCTTGTTTTGTGGTATTTTCTCTTCTGTTATATCTTTCAGACTCGTTGACTCTACGTTACTGTACTACCAAGTGACACACTTAAGGGGTTCCAAAGGTTCCGTGATGTACAGTACATTGCATTTGAAAGTTAAAGCTGTGAAAAGGAATGGGAAAAAATGCGAAAGGAATTCGCATTCGCATTTTGACCACAACTTTTCCCCCCGTGCAAAAGCGGTGCAAATCTTTTGTGAACACGTCGTGAAACATTTGCGAAAACATTGAGAAAAAAATAGTGCGCGAAAACAGTGTGAAAATTTTGAATGGGCAGCAGTAGTAGTCAGGATGTCGGGATAGGTGTAGATGCATTGTGTGCTTCGCGATGTGCTGTGGCATGCACAAGGTCCCGTGGTGGTTTTTGAGGAGATTTGGTCTCGGTCGGCATCACGAAAACGTAGAGATAACCAGATACAATGCATTTATTCCAAAATCACGGTACATGCATCCGCCAATGCATGTAAATGTAATTCACATACATGACAACATGTGGATACATGTACATGTATCTGTACATGTGCACATGTTGAGTATCGAAGTGGGTTAATTTAAACGTTTATAAGAGAGCGCTATAACGGGAATCTATTGTAATTTAGCTGTTCGGTGTTCAGTGCTTGTCTCCAACCTCCACCTTAGCCAGCTTTGATTTTGCCTGTCACATTGTATTTTGCTCAAAAGCGAGAAACATACTGCATTGAAATTTTAATGCTGTNCTGATTTTCCTCCACTTTCCATATTCAGGGATGCGCATGTTTGAAACCACAGAGAACAAAAACTTCCTGATGTCTACATGTACATGCACAAATACTACTGTGTCTACTGGTCTAACCATGTGGCTCAGAAACCATGCGCCAGGATGGCCCCATGCCTCCTGCGCAGGGGAGAACTACTCAGTCGAGCTACCCTCAATTTTTCAGGAGTATACGCTGCTGACTATTCAGATTCGCCTCTGCCCTTCAATTATGGACCCTTCGGCGGGCGACTTCAACTTTCGCACGGTCTTGGGAGAAAGTCATACCAGAGAGCTGGGTTCTCGCGACTGTTTGCCATGGATACTCAATCGAATTCATTAGCACTTGTCCTCCGGCTGACTTGAGTTCCTTCTGACAGAAACAAGTGGGAGGCACAGGAGTCTGAAATACACTCTCTCCTACAAAAGCGAGCCATCCGCCCTGTTCTCAAATCTCAACATTCTTCCTCACTCTGAAGAAACAACTCAGTAGTCGGCGACCTATTATCAACATCAAGCCTCTGAATGAGTTTGTCTGGCCGAAGAAATTCCACATGGAGACTCTTCGGACAGTCACCTAGTCTCTCTCGATTCCTTGTTGGGCCTCATCCATAGACCTGAAAGATGCCTACCTCCACATCCTGATTCACTCATTGAGCTATACATACTGGGAACCTTTTTGAATTCACAGTGCTTCCGTTCAGCCTCTCCACCTCACCAAGAATGTTAACAAGGGTTGCAAAGATCGTCACCACTCACCTTCGATAGCGGGACGTCATGACGTTCCAATACTTGTATGACTGGCTCATCGTCGAGACAGCAGTTTCCACCCTCCTTATGGCAATATCATGAACTGCCTAGGCTTTATTATCAACCCGAAAAGTCGAAACTCACCCCAACGCAACATCCGACATATCTACTGGCAGCCATTGACCTTCAACGGGGTATAATCTCACCTACGACCGAATGCGTCAACAACTTTCTGGATTGTGTGAGGGTCATTTCTAACAAGCTGTCAGCTCCTGCCCTCACCTGGCTCTGCCTCCTCTGTTTAATGACCAGCATGGTGGATCTCATCCCCCTCTGCAGGCTATACATGCGTCCGCTACAACTTCATCTCCAAGCCCTCTACAAACTGAAATGGGATTCAATCAACCTCTATGTCCCCATTTCAGACTTCAACCGCCCCCAACTCCAGTAGTGGCTAGNTAATTACCCCACTACCAGAGAAAATCTGTGAAATTCTTTTCCCACTTGTGGGAAAATCTGTGAAAATATTTTCCCACTTGTGTGAAAGATGTGAAAATATTTTCCCACTTCTAGCACACTTTTTCACAATTTGTGAAATGAAAAGGAATTCCCCGGGAAGAGAAAAAATGTGAAAAATTGTTCCCATTTCGGTGTTAACTTTCAATCCCAATGTACTGTAGTACGAGTGATTCGATTCCGCGGTCCCCATCTTTGCTTGGTTTATATAGGGTCAACAGGGCGACCCTGGAATTGTTGGGGTTCGCAAGGTGGTGCGAGCGATTCAATTCCACAGCCCTACTTCCCTTTAGACCGACAGGAGTCAGTCTGCAAAAGATCGAATGGCAGTCAGGCTATACTTGTGATTCCGTGCTAATTCCTGGTCGCAGTACCATCCTCTGTCCAGTTCAGGGTTAGCCTATGCCATGCTTCAAGGGTCTGAGATGTAGTGCGTGCGAAATCTGAATGCTCAGTTCCCCAATTTTACCACCAAAGTATTTGCAGTCAATGATAATGCTGAGTGGTGCTGCACTTGGTGTTTAATTTCCCCTGCTTGCTGGCCTGGACGCACTATCACCACGCGTCCCAGTTCCTAAGCAGTCCTACTGATCCACATCGCCTGCTGTTGTGTCCACTGGTCTAACCATGTGGCTCAGAAACCATGCGCCAGGATGGCCCCATGCCTCCTGCGCAGGGGAGAACTACTCAGTCGAGCTACCCTCAATCTTTCAGGGGTATACGCTGCTGACTATTCAGATTCGCCTCTGCCCTTCAATTATGGACCCTTCGGCAGGCAACTCCAACTTTTCGCAGGGTCTTGGGAGAAAGTCATACCAGAGAGCTGGGTTCTCGCGACCGTTTGCCATGGATACTCAATCGAATTCATGAGCACCTGTCCTCCAGCCGACTTCAGTTCCTTCCTCCCAAGTGGGAGGCACAGGAGTCTGAAATACACTCTCTCCTACAAAAGCGAGCCATCCGCCCTGTTCTCAAATCTCAACGTTCTTCCTCACTCTGAAGAAACAACTCAGTAGTCGGCGACCTATTATCAACATCAAGCCTCTGAATGAGTTTGTCTCGCCGAAGAAATTCCACATGGAGACTCTTCGGACAGTCACCTAGTCTCTCTCGATTCCTTGTTGGGCCTCATCCATAGACCTGAAAGATGCCTACCTCCACATCCTGATTCACTCACGAAGCTATATATATGCTGGGAACCTTTTTGAATTCACAGCGCTTCCCTTCGGCCTCTCCACCTCACCAAGAATGTTAACGAGGTTTGCAAAGATTGTCACCACTCACCTTCAAAAGCGGGACGCCATGATGTTCCAATACTTGTACGACTGGCTCATCGTCGAGACAGCAGTTTCCACCCGCCTCACGGCGATATCATGAACTGCCTAGGCTTAATATTATCATTCAATACTCACCCCAACGCAACATTCGACATATCTACGGGCAGCCATTGACCTTCAACGGGGTATAATCTCACCTACGACCGAATGCGTCAACAACTTTCTGGATTGCGTGAGGGTCATTTCTAACAAGCTGTCAGCTCCTGCCCTCACCTGGCTCTGCCTCCTCGGTTTAATGACCAGCATGGTAGATCTCATCCCCCTCTGCAGGCTATACATGCGTCCGCTACAACTTCATCTCCAAGCCCTCTACAAACTGAAATGGGATTCAATCAACGTCTATGTCCCCATTTCAGACTTCAACCGCCCCCATCTCCAGTAGTGACTGGTGAAGGGACACCTCTCCCCCCGAAATCCCCTCCCCCAGGGCAAATCTGGAAATAACCATAACTTCAGATGCTTCACATCTGGGCTGGGGAGCTGACCTACTGCCGCCTCAAGCATGGGGAACATGAGACCTCCAGCTCTTCGGGAGTCACATCAATGTTCACTCCAGGCAGTGTTCAATGCCCTGAAATCCTTTCACTTGAGCGTCGCAAGCAAGTTGGTCCGCAAATGCTCGGACAATTCCATGGTGGTGTTATACATCAATCGTCAAGGGGGCATGCATTGTCCTTGCGTATGCCTTCTGACGAGAGAGATGTTCCTGTGGGCCCAGGATCATGGCATCGACCTTCAGACGACCCACGTGATATCCCCAGTGTTGACAACTCCATCGCTCTTTACTCTTAACACCAGCATGATCAAACAGATCTTTGCCGAAGTGGAGAAACCAAACATCAACCTATTCTCCTTGGTCTGTTGGTGGAGAATGCCCATCTGCCAGTGTTCTGCAGCAGATTTTACCACCCGCAGGCTTGGGCGAGGAGTGCTCTTCAGCTCAGCTTGGAAGGGATGTTGACTTACGTCTTTCCCCGTTATCCCTGATACCAGCGGTACTCTCCAAAATGGAACGGGAGCGGTGTAGTCTTGTACTTGTATGGGTGCCGACAGTCCTTTCCAGGCTGGAACTGCTCTACCAACCAAAGTCCAGCATTCTTTACCCTCACCCAGTGTCCCTACACCTGACTTGCTGGCTATTGTCACACAATCCCTCAAGTCAGCAGGACTTTCTGGTCTCAAAGAGCTGATGGCCTCAAAGAGCTGATGGCAATCTATGCGCAGCATCTATGATGCCAGATTACAACATTTTAACTTTGTGGTGTTCAGAATGAGGTTTTTCTCCACCAATGTTTCTGTGACTACTGTAGCTGATTTTTTCGTGCACCTTTTCAAATCAGACCTATACAAGTACCAACCATCCACAACTACCAGTGGGCCATCGCAGCTTTACATGAGGGCTTCACCAGACAGCTTGACTGTGTCTGACAACGATGCTCTCAAACACCTACTCTGGAGAATGTTTCTTGAGCGTCCTCCTACCAACAGACTAATCACCTGCTTGGGACTTGTCAGCTGTTCAACTGCTTGCTGGTCCCCCCTTTTGAGCCTCTTAGCGACGCATTGTTGATCAACATGACAGTGAATCTGGCATTCCTATTAGCAATTATTACCTCACTCTATGGCAGTGAACTGAAAGCCTTGTCCGTCGCTGATGGCCTTATCCGATGGGAACCCTGTGGTGTTCCCTCATCCCCATGCTGGGG